TATTAATTTTTGCTTAGTGCTCTTGTTATCTGGTTGGTGGCCTAGCATCGACCTTAATAGAGGGAGGCCCAGAACTGCTGTGACTCATTCTTAACAGGATTACTGGAGCTGCCTGTGCTTGAAGCTTAAATGGGACTGAAGGCAATGCTAGGTCTGATGCTGGCCAATGATGCATTTTCATCAGTTCATAACAAAATTGAATCATTTGGACAGCTTGTAGAAATGCATTTAATGCCGTTTGGAAAAGGAATATACTTGGTTTTGGCAGCTGAATTATATGCATACTCAGGATTGAAGTTAATATGGCAGCAATTTGATGTGTCATGAGATTCCTAAATCCACGGCCTTTCTCCTCTTCGCTTTGGCTCCCCCTCATCAGCTCTCCTTCCCTCCTATGTCATTTTGCTCCTTAATCCCCCTTTGCTCTGCAAAATAGTCGCGAGCTGTGTCTTTTTCAACATTTCCAGCAGAAAATGCTTGGTAAATTCAGGAATACTCTGCACATTGCTAATTTAAGAATACATTCTGCTTATACTCCACAGAACCGAAGAACCCACCCTGTAACACAAGTCTGATTCGACATGATTAGGAGCATTGTAAAAGGGAGCAATACAAGGAAAGCTGATTTTAGCATGTTGAAAGAAGAACATGTCTCTGTGTGCCCAGGCTTGGAAAAGTGAATTTTACCAGGGAGATGGTAATTCATCCAAATTATTCCCGAACCCTGCACTGTAATATGTCATAACGATGACTGGAGGTTGCTACTTGGTGTGAGAGTTTCTATGCCAGTATCAATTCAGCTGCCAGAAACGCATCAATCCAAGGCAGAAGAACCATGCAAGGGGGGAAGCATGAATTAAGCAACCTGCAAAGCACAATCTGAAGAGGACTTTTATATGATGGCAGCATTGTAGCTTCTTGTGACCAAAGTCTGACTGTGCTTCAAGCAACTAATGAATTGACTAAGTGTATTGTGGATAGTGGCAATTAAGAAAAAGCAAATCTATAATATATCAGTACTGCATCCCTGCATTGGAAAGGACCACATTTATATTATTATAGGATTGTGCTACCAGTGCCAGTCCTACCATTGGGCAGACTGACACCACTGCCTCAAGCAGCAGCAGCTCCCCGGATGCTTTTACCAAATCCCCTGGCTACCCCCTTCTGTTGGAGGACAAAGCTGTGCATGCTATGTAGTCTGTCCTGCATTGCCATAACTAGTTTGCTGCCCTCAGGTGCCCTTGAGGATACTCCTCTATTCCCAGTACTGAAATAAAATATAAGTGCCAGTCCAGGCAGCTCCTATGCATGGGAAAGCGAGCATGTCGTCTTGTCTTCTGCATCAGGCAGCAACATCACTCTAAGAATGTTTTTGTGGAATAGAAACAAGTTGAGGGATTGGTATGAAAATCAAATTAAAGCAGTTGACTGTTCAGCACACTGGTGGAGTGTTCCTCGCTGGTGCCTGGGTTGCACCGTGAAGGCGGGGTGCTGTAGGGGTGGAACACACCCACTGGGGCTAAGTGGGGGGGTACACTGCACTGCCAGCCCAGCCACGCCCAACCCGACTGGCCAACGCTGCCGTGCTTTGAGGGGTGCATTCACAGTGCCCTGTGAGCCCAGCGTTGCTTTGTGAGACTCACAAAAGTGGTGTGGCACTGGCAGGGCATCTTGAGGAATGTGCCACCCCCGAAAACCTGCACCCGAGGCAATGGCTCCCCAACCCTGCCCACGTAATGCCTCTGGTTCAGCATACCTCAAATATAGTTCTTATAGGAATATAGGAAGCTGCCTATATTAAGTCAGGCCATTGGTCCAATTTGCTCAACATTGTATCTTGCGCAACATTTTGCATGCAAGGCAGATGCTCTACCTTTGAGCTACGGCTCCTTCACTGTCACAGTCAGTAGAGGGCATCTCTCTCCAATAGTGCTGCAGCCGGCTCAGATGAAATCACTCCTATCAATTTGCTTCAGCAGCCAGAGATACATCATTGCCATATGAATGCTCAGGGAAGTGATCCACTGGCCAGGTGAAAGAGTGCTCTTCTGAGCCTAGAAATCCTTTCCTTTCCAAAACTCAGAGATAGAGCACCTGCCTTGCATACAGAAGGTCCCCGTTCAATCTCCTGCATCTCCTGGAACAGCTGGGAAAGATGCCATTCTAAAATCCTGCTGAGGTTGGACTATACTGAGCTGCATGGACCAGTGATCCTATTCTGTCTAAGGTGGCTTCCTATGTTCACCTATTCTGCACATGCATGGATCTCCTCATGGAGAGAATATGAATGAGTAGATTATCATCCTGACCTCAGCAACATCCCTGACAGCATCCCTATTCCTTCTATAAATCAAAGTGAAGCTTTAACACAACAGCCATATCTATCATGCTCTTTCTTTTTCTAGCCAAAGAATAAATGCTAATGCATCGTCTGTAGTAAAATAAAGAGCTACTTATAATGAGTTTTATGGTGCAGCGTAAAGATGTTAGAACTGCTTTATTGCAATGCTGCACTTCCTAATGTTTACACTGTTAATTACATAATGCCTTTAAAAGCAATATGATATTAGAATGCTACCCCAATTGATAGATTCCCCCACCATGTGCCATTAACTACCATGTTTTTATTTGCTTTCATAGCAGCAACATGTATATCAGAGTAATACAGTGGGATGGCATCAAGTAACGCCTGTCTGATTCATTTCCCCATGGCATTATAAAATGACTGATCTCATGCTAGAAGCCATTAAATACTCTCACCCCATCACAGACCACAAACCCCAGATTTCATTTTGCAGACACTCTCTGGTTGTTACTTAAGAAAAATTGGGTTTTGTGTTGTTTCATGTCACATCAAACAATGCCTGATAATCACTTCAAGGGCACTTAATTTCATTTGTATTGGTTATCTTGGGAGACAGTAATTAAGGATTTTCCAGAACTGTGGACATATGTCACACATCTACACATTAAATTTGGAAAACAACATTGTTTCTTTTTCAATCATGTAAAAATGCCAAAACTTCAGTTTTCAGAGAGGGTGCCTTTTCTGTGCCCCTTTCAACATGTTTGTTAATTTGCCTATTTATCTGATGTCAGATTCTGCTTGCGCCAAAGGATTCTGGAAGTAGAGAAAGTGTCAGGATGAGATGAGGCATTAGATACTAAGTGCACAAACTACCAAGTAATACAACCTTGAACAAATAGTTGGTAGGGAAATCAGCCAACCAGGAGCAAAGTGACTTTTGAAGTTGTTGGCTGCATTTGGGTGTGAGGATGATAAACAGGAGTGTTTTTCTCCTTCGCATTATTTGAACTGCAGCAAGGCCATAGCAATTGTGGCTGCTCTCTTGGAAATTAGCAAGTTTATTAATAGCTTACTGTGTAAATATAGATACTACTCATTTACTTACTCATTTGCAAGAGGAACTCAAACTTTTCCCAATTAACTGCTTCTTTCAAGTACTTAGTGACAGTAAGGAGGGGGAAAATCTGTTTGGGATCAGGCCACTCAGAATTTGCCACTTGGGGCACTCAGAAAATCTTGCTGCCGTGTTTCCCTTGCTCTAACATCTTCAGCTTTAGTCTTCCTGTAGCACTAAATTTCAAATATATAACCAAAGGTGAGGGATCTATTTCCCCTCACTAAAAGAGTCAGTCTCATAGTGACAGCTTTCACTTTGGGATTTGCCTTCCAGAAACCACTTCCACTCAACCTTCAAGAAAAAAAGAAAGAAAGAAAGGCAAAAGAAAAGACCTTTAGAAACACCCTGCACTAGATTGGTGAGCAAACATCATTCAGCTTCAAGCCTCAGAGGGTATTAGTCTAAAGTGTGAATTTAATATCCTTTATTAAATAAAACACCTTCCTCAGTTCACACAATGCCGGGCCTCAATCATGGCTTGTCATAATTTCTCATTTTTTCAATAACTTTGCCTTTAGCTGAGAGATTGGGAATCTGGCCCCTCAGATGTTCTTGGATTCCAACTCCCATCAATTGCAGTCAGAAGGGCCAACAGTCAAAAACATCTGGAAGGAACTAGGTTGGAAGAGGCTGTCAGAGCCATAACCTCTTCACCTCCAAAAGTGTGGTCAGCTGGAGAATGGCTGGAGATTTCAGTGCTGCCACAGGCTCATATGGAAGTAGATGGTGTAAAAATACACCTTTCTAATTAGCAAAACGCTAATGTTGATTTCAGAAAACATATAGTAGATAATGCCTTGGTGCTGTGGCTGTCGCTCATTTCAAAGCAGCCACAGCCTTTGTTGTACATTGCAAGCTGACAAAGGTTCCTACTGGCTGGTTGTGCTGTGATGACAGTAACATGGCCTCTTTGTTTATTTTAATTTATTTAAGTCATTCATCATAAGGAACATCTCCACTGGAACCAATAAGCATTCCTCTTGATGAAAGACCACAGTGTTTTGGCCACAGTTAATTGTGGCAAAGATGAGCTTAGGACTTCCAACATATTTATAGCACTCACAGCTGGAATGATGCTTCTGTGTGCTGGTTGAACAGACAGGGTTAGATTGTTAGTGAATCAAAGAACTTTTTTATTTAATTAAAAAAAACCCAAAAAGATATGTTGAGATATGAAAGTGGAATACTGGCTGGCTGGCTCAATATCTTATTGGCAATCCCAGACCTAAAGTCTCCTGCACAAATTGGCTCTGAGGACGTTTCAGTGACACATTTCATTGCTGTCTTAAAGCCTGGCAAGAATTTAGAGGAAATGAAAGGGAAATGGAACAATGCCAAGAGTAGACCTCCATTATTCTTGATTTCTTCCATTGTTGCTTCTCCTTCCCCAGCAGTGAACACAGGTGGAGATGTCATGAATACACAGTCTAAATAGTGCCCCTGTTTGGCTGCAAAGTGTGCAACTAGAGTTCTGTGCACATGGAAAAAACATGGTCTAGAATTGGAAGCAGCAGCCAGCAGTTGTGGACATTTGCATCCATTAACTTTATTGAGGCTCTTTGAGAGGGAAGGGCTGTGGCTCAGTGGTAAAGCACATGCTTTGCATGTGAGGGGTCCCAGTTTTGATCCCTGGCATCTCCAGATTGGACTGGGAGAGACCCTTGCCAGCTACTTCCAGTCAGTGTAGGCAGTGCCGAGCAAGATGGATCACTGGCCTGACTCAGTATATGCTCCTCTGATGATGATATGGGAAATAAAACAGAAAAGCTGTGGCAGCCACAGGTAAGGGATGTGTGTCTTTACAGCATATATGTCAGGAATTGGCTGGCCTCTGATGTGTATGTGGTGGAGGCAGTCAGGTTGGAGGCCATCCTGGAGAGGGGGCCATCAATTTATGAGATTTTGTGCCAATGAAGCAGGAGCCAGGGTGGGAGGAAGGGGAAGAATCCAAGCAGTCAGAGGAGGGGGAAGGGTGCAGGATGGGTCGGAAGTAAACGAGGAAGAGCTCAGGCAAGGGTCAGGCCAGTCGAATCCCTGCCACCTCCTGCCCCGCTGTCTCCTAGAGCCAAGAGGGGCTTGAAGAGGCAAGTGCAGCAGCAACTTCTGGGTACGAGAAGTTATCGGTTGCTTTCATGAACTCCGTCCATCAAAGGTACATAACAGTGGGAGTAGTCCCACTGTTACTTCAACGGTTCAGGTGGGGCACAAGCCTTGGAAAGTTAATGCCAGCTATGTAATTTCTAGAAGCGTGTGTGTCTATATTTGGTGCACAGCAGGAACTGCTGTAAATGTGTGCTTTTGTCAATAAATAATTAAACTACTGGCTGTTTGTCCTCCTTGGCTGGGTGTGCTCAGGATAATATATTGCAACAGCCATTGCAGCGAGAAGGTTAGGAAGTTAGGCTTAGACCTCAGTTCAGATTGTTGCCCATCTAGAAACTTCCCTGGGGCCTGGAGCAATGCCACAAGCCTTGCTAGTGGAGTGGGATTTCAAAAGCATAGTTTTCCTCCCTTCCAACATCAGTGAATCCATCACTTCAGATGCACGGTTGTTTATGCATCTACCTCAGGCCCTTCCACTGTGATCCTGTCCCCAACTCCATACATTTGTTCCATCCAGCCTAGGCCTGCCATACACAAGGAAAATTCCTGTTGTGTTCTGGTTTTCAGGTGTAAAAATGGCATCAGGATGTATGGCGCCCCCGGGTTTCTCCGTCCTCCACCAGTCACGGACTGTGGGCCGGGGGGGAGGGGTGGCATTATTAATCCGGGAAGATTGTCCTTTCAGGGCTCTACCATCGCCATCGATCCCCGGCATTGAATGTGTTGGCCTAGTGTGGGGCTCTGAGGTGAGCTTGGCTGTCTGGCTGGTGTACCGGCCACCTAGCGCACCAGCAACCACCCTGTCAGCCCTGCTGGAGGCGGTGGCCGGCTGGGCCTTGGAGTTCCCTAACCTATTGGTATTGGGGGACTTCAACATCCATGCTGATGCCACTCCCTCCTCACAGGCTCTGGACCTGGTGTCTTCCATGGCAACACTAGGGCTCTCCCAGTTTGTTTCCAGGCCCCACACATCAAGCAGGCCACACGCTGGATTTGATCTTTGGCGTAGGTATAGATGTGATCATGTCTCCTTCAATGAAGGTGCCATGGTCTGATCACTACGCTCTGAAAGCCAGGATTGACTTTCCACCCCCACCCTGCTTAGGTGGCGAGCCGATTTGGGCTCACCCGCAGAGGCTGATGGACCCTGATAGATTCCGTCAAGCCTTGCGGGACCTTGCTCCCCCTGGCGACTCATTGACTGAGCTTGTTGAGGGCTGGAATACCCAGCTCCTGGCAGCCATAGATGAGATCGCACCTAAGCGCCCTCTGCGACTCCGCAGAAACCGGGCTCCCTGGTTTACCGAGGAGCTTCGGAAAATGAAGCGGGACCTCAGACGGCTAGAGCGAGTATGGCGGGGTGCCCGTGACGGAGCCTCAAGAACATCTTATAGGGTTTTTATGAAAACCTATGAGATGGCGGTGAAGGCCGCTAAGAAGTCTTACTTCTCGGCCTCCATTGCATCCGCTAGCTCTCGCCCGGCGCAATTATTTAGTATAATTAGGTCTTTAACGTCCCTTGAAGGACAGCCAAATTTAAATAACAATCTGACACACAGCTGTGAGGCATTTGCGAGCTTTTTTGCGGAGAAGGTCCTGTTGCTCCGCCATGACCTCCCTGCCAATTTGGATACAATAAAGGAACTGGAGGCCCCTCGACTGTCCTCGGGTCCAGTATTGGACCACTTTGATCGGATATCCCCAGCCGATGTAGACAGACTCCTCCGAGCTGGAAAGCCCACCACCTGTCCTCTTGACCCGTGCCCGTCTTGGCTGATTAGAGCGTGTCCAGGCGAGGTGCAGGCCCCTTGGGGGATATCATCAATTTGTCCCTTGGCACCGGGATATTTCCAGGGGAATTGAAGGAGGCAGTGGTGCGCCCGCTCTTAAAGAAAACATCATTAGATCCCTTAGATCTATCCAATTACCGCCCGGTTTCGAATCTTCCATTCCTGGGTAAGGTGATTGAGAGAGCGGTTGCTGAACAGCTTGGTAGGTTTCTGGACGAAACATCGGCTCTGGATCCATTCCAGTCTGGCTTCCGCGCTGGTCATGGGACCGAGACGGCTCTGGTCGCCCTAACAGATGATCTCCGCAGGCAGCTGGATCGAGGCGGGTCGGGGCTGCTGATTCTTCTAGACCTGTCAGCAGCCTTCGACATGGTTGATCACGAACTCCTGGACCACCGCCTTGCCGACGTGGGGATCCAGGGCACAGTCCTTCAATGGCTGCGCTTGTTTCTCTCCGGTCGGGGACAGAGGGTGGCGCTTGGGGGGGAATTGTCATCCCGCCACTCCTTGGTGTGTGGAGTGCCTCAGGGTGCGATACTCTCCCCGATGCTTTTTAACATCTTTATGCGCCCCTCGCCCAGCTTGTCCGGAGTTTTGGGCTGGGTTGCCATCAGTATGCCGATGACACCCAACTCTATCTGTTGATGGATGGCCATCCTGACTCGGCCCCAGACACACTGACCAGATGTTTGGAAGTTGTGGCTGGATGGTTACGTGGAAGCCGGTTGAAGTTAAATCCTTCGAAGACAGAGGTCCTCTGGCTGGGACGGGACGATATGGGATTGGGGGGGCAACTCCCATCTCTTGCGGGGGTGCAATTAGTGCCAGCACCGTCCGTTAAGAGTTTGGGTGTAATCTTCGATACCTCCCTCTCTCTGGAGGCGCAGATTACAGCTATAACAAAGGCGGCATTTGTTCATCTCCGCCAAGCTAAGCAGTTGGCCCCTTATCTCTCTCGCCCTGACCTAGCCACTGTGATCCACGCGACGGTCACCTCCAGACTGGATTATTGTAACTCGCTCTACGTGGGGCTGCCCTTGAGACTGACCCAGAAACTCCAGCGGGTGCAGAATGCCGCAGCGAGACTCCTTATGGGGTCTTCGCTGCGAGATCACATTCATCCGGTACTATACCAGCTGCACTGGCTCCCGGTGGAGTACAGGATCAGGTTTAAGGTGCTGGTTTTAACCTTTAAAGCCCTATACGGCCTAGGACCCTCGTACCTACGGGACCGCCTCTCCTGGTATGCCCCACAGAGGAACCTACGGTCTGCAAATAAAAACATCCTGAAGGTCCCAGGCCTCAGAGAGGTTAGGCTGGCCTCAACTAGAGCCAGGGCTTTCTCGGCTGCGGCTCCAATCTGGTGGAACGCTCTGTCACAAGAGACCAGGGCCCTGCGGGACCTGACATCTTTCCGCAAGGCCTGCAAGACAGAGTTGTTCCACCAGGCCTTTGGTCAGGGCCCAGCCTGACTCCCACCTCTGGCAACCTGCACAGAACTTTGCTTAACGGTTGCCATTAATTTGATTTTAATTAATTTTTATAATGAAATGTTTTAGAATGTTCGATTATTTGATTGTTTGATTATTTGTTTGTTGTTAGCCGCCCTGAGCCTGGCTTTGGCTGGGGAGGGCGGGATATAAATAAAATTTATTATTATTATTATTATTATGGCAACACGATGGGAAAACCAGCAGAAACAGCTCCAAAAGCTTGAAATCATTATTCTTGGGGGAGGTTTTCCCCCAACAACTTTGTGGGTATCAGGAATATGGCAACCCTAATCCAGCCTATTTTACCGTGCTGTTGCAGAGGAGGAAAACAGATTGCTTTTATGCCTCTTCTACACTGAACGCGGGTGGCGCTGTGGGTTAAACCACAGAGTCTAGGAGTTGCCGATCAGAAGGTCGGCGGTTCGAATCCCCGCGACGGGGTGAGCTCCCGTTGCTCTGTCCCTGCTCCTGCCAACCTAGCAGTTCGAAAGCATGTCAAAGTGCAAGTAGATAAATAGGTACCGCTCCAGTGGGAAGGTAAATGATGTTTCTGTGTGCTGCTCTGGTTCACCAGAAGCGGCTTAGTCATGCTGGCCACATGACCCGGAAGCTGTACGCCAATAAAACGAGATGAGCGCCGCAACCCCAGAGTCGGTCACAACTGGACCTAATGGTCAGGGGTCCCTCTACCTTTACTTTGAAGGATGGGAGGTAATGGAACAGTAACATTACAAACCGTGCTAAGTAAGAGTGTATTTTGTTTTATATGTGCAAGGAGTTGCAATGTTTAGGGATGAGTATCCTCAGTGTGATGTTGGGAAAGATTGAGGGCACAAGGAGAAGGGGACGACAGAGGATGAGATGGTTGGATGGTGTTCTTGAAGCCACAAACATGAGTCTGACCAAACTCTGGGAGGCAGTGGAAGACAGGAGTGCCTGGCGTGCTCTGGTCCATGGGGTCACGAAGAGTCGGACACGACTAAACGACTAAGCAACAACATCCTCAGTGCAGATGGCTTCTCTGTTTCCCCTCAGGACTCTCTCCTGGCTCCCACCTCAAGTGCTTTTGGTTTCCTGGAATGTTTCCTTGAACTATGATAATACTTCTTCCTTTTCTAAATGTGGGGTGAAGGAGAGAAGTATGTGTGGGAGTGTAAATGCAGTAACATGTGACTTTTGCATGACGTTGTCTATTGTACAAAGCTCAGATTCACATTTATTATTCCACACACTTTTAGCCACCACCAACGTGTGA